TTGTTTGTTTTTGACAAGCTCTGAGCTGGATGTTTACATGACCTTCAACTTTCAGACTTCAACAATTTACATGACTTTGTGCAAAGCAGCGCTTCATTTTTGTTTTTACCTTTTTTATCTCTGAGGCAAGTGTCAACACAGAGGCATCCCAGAAACTGCAATAATCTTCTCCTTCACACACACCCTTTATTCCACAGCGAAAAAAACCTTCCTGAGCCACCATTGCATCACTTCTTTTTTTTCTCACTACATTCTAGGTTTTTCACTGTAATATGCAGTAAAACAAATTTCAAAAGTGGTTAAAGTCTGCTCTCATTTGCTTAAAGTTAAAATTATTACACTTTTACCCCCCCCCCCCCCCCATGCTTTGAGATGCCATTAATTTGCATCTCATAGAAAATGAATCAAATAAATAAATAAATTCAAATGAATTAGTGTAATTAATTACTATCTACCTCCCTTTTACGCTGTCATGTTTCATGCATGTATGTTTGCTGACTACATTTTTTTTTTTTTTTATATCTCTAACCTAACTGCGTAGACATTAATTTATAATTAATGAATTTGAAGTTATTAAAGTGAGTCTGTGATTAAATTTAGCACACAAGAGAGTCTGTTCTAAATATTGAATGCCTGATATTTTGTAATGCTTGACTGAAACTGAATTTTGCTTTTAGGTGTGCTTTGATAAATTAAAGAGTGTTCCACTGTGAAATATCCTGCATCAGTACTAGGGGTTGTATCTCGGTTTTGAAATCACGGTTTGGTTTATTTTCGGTACAGTAAGGGAAATACTAAATTGCTGCTGGTTTATTAATGACTCTTGTAAATATCCAAATTAGTTTACAAATTTTTTTAAACAAACTTCCAAATTACACATAATAATTAAATAAATAATATAAAATAAAAAAGAATAAGAAATAAGTTCACCACTAAATAAAATATTCTCAAAACGATACCACATATAGCCAATAAAATATAATAAATATATGATATGGATTGCAGTGCAGCATTCGTCTTATTCTTTTATTCCATTTATGAGCATTATCAATCCCAGCTTGAAGGCCTGGTCAGAAAACAAACAAAAAAACAACAACTTTTCTTTAGTCTAAAATCTGTTTAGATGCCGAAAGGTGTTTGCACTGTGGTCGTTTTTGTTTTTTTTCCCTTGTCGCAGTGACGTTCTCCTTCGTGTGATACCATTAGTGAGTTAGCAACTTTGACGTGTTGCCAGAAACATACCCGATCACTACTGAGAAATGTCGGCCCGCTGCTTATCCGCAAGGCGGAGATTTGGTCCGCCACTTAATATGTGGATTATTGAATTAATAAATTGACAGGGACCTCTTCATGGACCTTCCTTTTTATGGTGCTATTGCAGAGCAGTGAGCACCTCAGGAATGTTTGGCTGTCCATAATGTAGTGCCGGGCTTTCCCCTCAGCTGCCGTGTTGGACTTGGCCCGCTTCCAGGTCTTTCGGGCTGATGAAGGCCACAGCAGGTGATGCAGCCTTTGATCTCACTCTAGATCTGTCTGTAGTTTTTCAAATATCAGAGAGAGACAGAGAGAGGTGGGGGCAAGCCGGGTGTGTGAGTGTGTCAGAGTGTGGGGAAAAGAGAATTCCAAGGCAGGTGCAAAGCATACTTAAAAACAATAATAAGAATGTTCGTGGTCATTAAAAGCTGCTTTCACAGGGTGGTATAATGTGAACATTTGAGACTTTTTTGCTGGGGGGAGCGGGGGTTTTACAATCACGATGCCGGCTCAACATTGGACGATGGCATCGTCTATCGGCCCAACCCTGCCTCACACATAACATACAAGCCCTCAAAAACACACACAATACTTAATTCAAATCAATACTACAAAAACTGGTTATCAGTAATGTTGCTTACAGGTTCTCCCCCTCAGAAACCTTTTCAAGGTTCTGATTGGTGTGTTATCAATTTTGACTGTTTGTTTTTACTTTAACAGCATCTTAGAGGCAAGAGGATGACATCAGTGCAATGTTTCCCAGGCTGACTGCTTTGTGGGCAACCTAAAGAAAAATAGAAATAAGTAAATAATCTGTAGTTTGTTAAAGCTGGAGTAGGCAACTTCGGAGAACTAGCAAGTGACGGTAAGATTTAGAAAGTATCCAACAAATCCCAGCCCTCAGAGTGCTTGTGGGTAGACGGGCAGGTAGGCCAGCCAATCATTTCATTTGCACTAAAAAAAAATGATTAAATGATTTGCTGTGGTTATTACAGTAATGTAAATTGTTTGGTGTCAGAGCATATGTTTTTTTTTTTTCAAATGCAGTTGAGATGTAAAGAGAATTTCAACAAACATGACAAAAAATGCTTCGGAAACTAATGGCTTACCCCAGCCTTAAGCTGTGAGTAGAGCAAATGTCTGCTAGCCGCTAGGCTAATTTATGTTATGTAAAATGATGTATGCTTAAGTTGCCAATATTTATTTTTTGACAACTATACCAGTAACCATGTCATCTTGGCTCACACTGAACAAAACATGCCACAGCCTAGCTGAGAGGGAGTTCGGGCTTTTAGGGAGGGGCGGGAGCCACTGCTGTAAGGGAAAGGTCTTGCTGTAAAGGAAAAGCCAAAATTGTTGTTGAAAATAAAAATTGATCAATCACCTGGCCCTGCTATAACCCTGTTTAGTACGTGACTCGGTGCCCTGTGTCGTTTGGCACCATGGCATTTGCTGTGAGCTATTTTTACCAGATGAACTTGGCCACACAGATGGACAGACAGACATGATGTGTGAGGCTGGATTCAGATATTTCACATATTTAATTTTCATTTTATCTGCTCCACATTTAGGCACATTTTACTGTTTTAAAACAAAAATGGTACAGAATATACACTTAAGAAATAAAAATGTTTAAAAGGGATAATGGCAACATGTGGTACATTTATTTGTAATTCTTAAATGGACACCATATATGGTTTGTTTTAAAAAGTCACATCCTGAGTCATGTGACCTATATGAAATTGGTGTTGAATGCTCAACACAGAATATGTCACTGTTCTTGTGCCATAAATCATTTAGGTTTAGATTTTGGACCGTGACAACAGTAGAGCATGCAGGCCCTTTTTTAATAGGTAGTTTGAAAACAAGAAAATGAGAGAAAGCAGCTACTTGAAAATAAGCTCTTTTAACCCTCTGCCCTCTCCCCTTTCCACCCACCCACCCACCCACCCACACAAACCTTCAGTAATTTGTTTTCATTGCTTTGTTGACTGATGCAGATCTAGTAAATGTTGGCTACTTCCTGCATTTCTCTGAGATAATTGCTTTCCACATTTCCAGAACCTCTACTCTGGACAGACCATCTAGTTTATTTTAAACTTAAAACTGTACGTTAGATTCTATTTGTTTAAATTTTTATGTCTTTAGCAATATTCTTCTGCCCTTTGAGAAGTAGAAGAATCAGATAGAAGTTACTACAGTTGACTACACAGATGCTTTACCCACTGAGCTCCATCAGCTGGAATCCACAGGGTCTCTGTGTCGGGGGTCCCACAGGCTGTCACAAACCATGACATCTGTCACGGCATTAACATGGGTCAATCTTAGCCCACTTTTAGTATGTAGTCCGAAGAATTCAGCCAAAATGCAAAAGCTTTCATTAACTACAATATAATAAGTCATAGACTCTTGAAATTTATGAAAAGTTTTATTATTTTATTTATTTATTATTTCAATTTTGCACTCCTTATTAACAGATTTATTTTGCACGTCTTTCCTCACTTTTCTGTAGCCCTGTCTGTCTTCCTCCACCTCCCTTTATCCTTTTTTATATATTTTTAATCTCTTCCTATCTTGCTTTTTTCAAATGTCTCCATTTCTTTTCCCCAGTAAAGCCCTTTATCTGTTATGATCTAGTTATTTTGCGAGTTAAACACAACAGAACTGTTCTTATCACCATAATGTTTCAGTGAGCTGCATGTGTTGCTCTTGACTGGAACTGTACAAGTGGGTAATGGGGGCTGTAACCCTCCGGGCTGCTGTGTGCGGGCTGAACCCAAACAGTCAGGCCCTGACTCCTAACTTTGACACCCACACACTTACGGTACTGACATGTTTCACAAACATGCACTTGCATTAGCGTGCACTGTCCTCATTCTGGCTGTTCTGTTCTATTGCTGCTTACAGAAAAGCGTGCGGTCATGTTTTATATTTTTGTGCACGTGTCAAGACACTAAGGTGAATTTTCACAGTTATCTAGCAGGTGTACTTCCCATTCATGACTGTATATTTAATTGTGATAAAAGGAACATTATACCCATTTTATTATTATTATTTTTGCTTTCGCTTTTGTATGACTACTAAGAAATACCGAACTTTCTTCCTCTCCTGATTATTTCCTGCTCTGTTTTGCTTGGATTCCTGTCCTTTCTCGCACTTTACTTCTTTCTTTCTCTGTCCCCTTCTACTAATCTAGCGTGACCTGCATGTGTTTTTCATGTCAAAACATTTGGCAAGTAATTGGACTCAATTATACAGTAGCTGTGGCTGGTATTCCCCTCGGGCCCTGATGACGGTCTGAAAAGCCAACAGGAACAAAATGAATGATAAAATGAATGTCATGCTTAAGCACCTGTTGTACCTAATTATCTACAACCCTTTAATCAATTCTCATACTGATAACTCTAGTCTGACTTTTCACAAACTCTGCAAACACATTTCTTACTACACGTCTAGCTAAAATTATATAAAAGATATAACATTGTACATTATCTTGCTTCTTTCTGTGCTCCTTTGCGCTCTTAGTGCCATGGTCCACTGCTTTTACACACATGTTCAGTCAACATCATACATTTTAACTTTGCTGAATGCTTAGCTGTGGTGGCTTAAAAATGAGAATCATTTAAGTTTCACTTATCATGTTATTGTAATGCACGTTCTGTCTGTTTGGATGTGTGCAATTCAAACACTTCACTGCCAGACAATTTTGCATGTTTAAATGTATTCCTTCTCGTCCTGTTTTTCAGGATGCCAGTTACTGGCTGCAGGTCCACCGGCTGGAGCACGGTGACGGCGGCATCCTCGACCTGGATGATGTACTCTGCGACGTGGCCGATGACAAAGACAGGGTGAGTGATGTTTGGAAGAGATACGAGTGGTTGTGAAAATACTGATGAAGCAAAACACGTGCTTTCAGGGCTCCCTATTAATCTTAATTGCATTAGCAACATGTGTTGACAGTGTATTTCCTACATTTTGTGTTTGCCTGCTAGCAGTCATGAATGGCGGGTCTCGGGAATAAGGAATAAGGGTTTGCATGGTTTGGAAAAATACTTGTCGGTTCCATGGTGTAAAAACACTAGAGTTGCATTGTGTTGCTTTCCCAAGGCAGAGGAAGTGCTTCCTGACCAGTCGGATAAGAGAACTTCTTGTGTAACAGAGCAGCCCTTATGAGTTTTTTTTATTTATTTTTTTTTATCTTTTGATAGCAAAATCTTTTTGATCTGTGAGAGTTTCTATGTGTTTTTCTAAGCATATCTCTTCTGTTAATCTTAATAAAAACTGCGCTGACTTTTACACTGCAGAGGCCAGATGCACATAACTGTGTAGATTTACACAGATTGACAGAAATAAGCATATGCATTCTTTTTTCTCCAATTAAGGCAGAACGTACACCTGATTCTGTTTTTTGTTTTTTTTGTTTTTTATAAATGCATGTGCACAAGCCTCATTTTCACTCCCACACGTTGGCAAAAAATGGATGTCAAAACACCCTAAATCACATATTGATACTTGTGCCCACTCCACCACTTACTTATTAGACCTGTCAAATTAGAAGAATGGGGGGGGGGGGAGATGTGCAATTTCACTGAATGGTGTTTGGCGAGGCACCAGAGCAGCGGTCATCACACATGGCTGTCGGCATTTATAACTCCTGCACCATTAATTCATCACACATAACTGGGGCTGGACAATAAAACAATAACGACAGTTATCACTATGACTTTTTCAATAACAATATAACAAATGTTTATTAAATATTCAATAAATGTTTGATTTTATTAATTTGATTTTTTTTTTTTTTTTAAAGATGTTTAATTTGTTGAGGAAAAAGGACTGAAAAAAGCTTTTACTTAATTTTACTCATGCATATTTGCTGGCTAAGATTTTATCATAATTGTTTTGAAGGTTCTAACTCAGATTTGTGATGTGATCCACTGTTTGGCCTCAAGTGTTGACCATAAAGAAGAGTTTAAGCCATAATCAACCATCAGGTTCCTTTAACTTTCACTCAGGAGCAAAAATCAGCCTTTTAACTCGAAACATTTTATCGTGATAACATTTTGGGGCATATCGTCCAGCCCTACATGTAACTATAAAACATTGTCCCCAATATCACAATCATTGTTATTAAACGTCAGTAAGAGGATAAATTATTAATTTCTCCAAAAATAATACCACAATAAGTGAAACTGACAAACAACCTAAACAAACAATGTTTTATTAAGACTCTCTATTTCCACTTTATACCTATAGCTGCTGGAATGTTACATTTCTGTAGATTTTATCCAAAGACTGCCGATTAGGTAGAATTAATATACTGTTAACTAGACGTAAAGGACTGTTTCTTCACGTTTTCACATGTGAAGTTGGTCTGAAGTTACTTAACACTAGTCTGACTCCCGGCCTTGAACTTGTCCGGGTCAAATGCCTGACAATCCTAGTTATACAGTACCAGTACTATGCAGTTAATTTGACAGTGTTTTTCTGATGACAAAGCTCAATCACAAGATAATTCTCTGTGAGTTGGTCCTCTGAAAGTAGAATTCTGCAGATGGACAGAAATCTTGTAACATATTTTCAGAAGTTGGGAATATAATGTTTGTTTTCTCACAGGGCACAGGAGTTTCTGAAATTATTTAATTAAGGTTTGGCAAGACTTTCAAGGCCCTAATGTGAAGTATAACCATAGACTGTATATAAGAAGTGGACGTAGTCATGGTGACGTCACCCGTTGGTTTGATGACTGCCGTTTTGAAGCCTTTAGTTTGGCCGATAGGGCGCCACCATGTGGAGTTTTTGCAACCAGGAAGTGCCCGGAAGTGACGATACGGCAGAGCTAACGGCCGTGTGCGGAGCTAGCTAGCTAGCTTCATTTTAACAGGGCTGATAACTTTGTCTAGTGAACAACAGTCTTAAAACTAAATGTACTCACAGAGAAAGCCGACTCCTAATAAGCTTTTTCAATGGTGCTGGTTAAATTTGCACAGCGCAGAGGGTACAGGTCGCTATGGTAATGACCTGTCAATCATACGTAATCCCGCCCTGAAACATTCTCTGCTTTGTGGTCTCTTTTAAAATAAATGCACCATAATTTACTAAATGAACATCATTTTGTATTGAAGAAGACATGAAACTAGCGACTGCGACCATAAACCCATCAGGAAAGTGTTTACTGGGGAAATTATTCAGCTGATGTAAGGTCATTTTCCCATTATTTCTAATGGAGCCGGTCGTCTTTTTGCAACCAGAAGAGTCGCCCCCTGCTGGATTTTCAATAGAATGCAGGTTTCAGGGACTTCCGCATGGGCTTCATATTGTAGACCGGAAGCTTCCCGCTTGAGTATAACTCAAACAAAACTTCAGAAAGAATATTTGACCTCTGCCTTCTCTAATCCACTGTTGAGCTTAAAGGAATTTTAACTCTCAACTATTTGTCAGCTTCATGTTTATAGGCCTCAAGGTGTGGGTGTGTATCTCCATGTGCTTAAATGTAAGTGTGTCTGTGTGTTCCTCAATGAGCTGTCATCATACTATCTCTTCACATCCCTCTCTATTTCTGTACCCCTTCGTCCCTACAGGCGTTTTCCACAGCAGAGAATGTGTACATTTCATACATGACAACCCTTCAGCCTCACTGACACAGATCTACACCACTGGCACTGTTTTGACACCATCCCCATCGGTGTATGTTTTGGATCTCTACACAGTTTAAACACCCCCCCCGCTTGTGAGTGTCCTTCAGTGGAGAACAAAATTTAGTGGACTGGACTGACCAGAGAGATATATTATACAGAAAGAGGTTTCATTGGCCTCGATCTGCAATGAAGCTGACTGATGGGTAGCAAACTGACTCCTTTTTAAACCCCATTGTGTAACTCAGGATTGATCGTTTGCAGTCTAATAGAACTGGAAGAGCACACAGTGGAAAGCGGGCCTCTGAGCCACAGTTCATGGCCTCTGCTGGCTCACATCCCTGCTCAGTGTGTGTGTGTGTGTGTGTGTGTGCGTGTGCGCGCGCACAAGTGTGTGAAAACTAATCCATCTTCTGTGTGGTGGTGTGTATGTCATGGGTAAATGTCTGTCCAGAAATGTGTCTGATTGCTGACCCCTGACCTCTGGGAGATGCCCGCTGATGACGGTCAGTGTGGTTTGGTAATGTGAAGCAAAGCTGCTGCTGTGGGGAAATGAAATTAAGCCAGGCTTTTCTTTCATTGTGTCCAGCAGTATCAATCTGAATGAATGTGATGGTGTTAAAGCACCACTGGTTAGTGCAAAGGGTGTGCGTTTTTGTGTGTCTGTGTGTTGAGGAGCAGATGGAAGACAAAGGATGCAGACAAAGCGGGAGATAGAGGGTAAAGCGCAGCGCCCAATGCTTTGTATCTGAAAGGGCAATTATTCATGAATATATAGAGTAAATCTGATAATGTAGACTTGACACAACTGTTGAAAAATGGCGTTGACAGTCTTGATATAAATAACTTGTCTACAGATATCATCAAGGCTTGAAAATCTCCTGCAACCCTGTGATTTTGTCATATTTCTTCACATAAATCCACATTAGTGTGGACTTATGTGGAGAAAACAGGGAAAGATGAAGGAGTTAAGCATGTATGAGTGTGATTGACTCCATGTGTCCCGCTAAACATTACTGGTGGTCTCCTGGCAGCTGTGACTCATCTCTGCCATTCCACAGGAGCTTTTTAAAGACTGGAAGGAATGGCTGGCCCATCAAACAAGGACACTTTTATTAGCTTACACTGGAATGAAACACGCAGGCTACATGTAGCGCTTGTCTTGGGAAAATAATATACTGTACATTTTTAGCTTTAGTGCTAGTGTGTGTGTGTTTGTTCCTCCTCATCTGTTAAAGCTGTGTCAAGTGTAAAAGTGGGCCTGTTTTTGTGTTGATACAATCCGTATCACCCATGCCAGGAAAAGTGGCGGCTTGCGGACTTAGCAAATGTTTTTCCAGATGCCATCTTTCCATCCGTTCATCATCCTTCCTTCCCCTTGTTCCTTATTTTTTCTCCACCTCTCACAATAAGTGAGCAGTCTGCCTTTCATGCACAAAGTTATCTATGATCTCATTAATCTCGATCACTTGTCGGAATCCACTTTCTGGCAGCTGGATCCATGCCATGGAAAATGCTTGTTTCTGTTTGGCTGGCAGGTGTCCCTTTTTTAAAAAAAAAAAAAAAAAAATTGTGCTCAATTACACACATGCTCACTCACAGCATTTGCCAGAACACGCACATAGATACTTGTCAGAATATACACATTCAGACACACAGAGGCCCCCACTTTTTTCGATCATGCACTCTCTTTACTCTTACACACACACACACACACACACACACACACACACACACACACACACACACACACACACACACACACACACACCCCCTGACATACCCCAGGTGTCCGGTGACAGGCCTGTCCCTACATACACTCCTGCAGCAATGTCACGACCCTGAATGATGGCACCTGGGCTGTGCCATCGCCACATTCCTGTATGCGTGTCATCGGGGTGTGCCACACAGCTGCACCCGCCACTACTCCATCACTGACAAGTCTGGCCCTGGTCAGCGTGGTGCCTGGATGTTCACCTTAGTTTAGTGTTCATTTACTTGAATCACACAGCTAGCCTGCACCTCTGATCTCTCACAGCAAACACGCCGGCTTGCTCCGCCTCTTTCTGTCTCTGCTGACTTTCTCCATCAGCAGTACGTTTCATAAAGTCACCGTGTTTAATTAACTCACCCGTGATTTTGTTTTCAAGTGCGCCGCATGTGGGTCGAAACCAAAACTTAGTGAGTGACATCTGCGGTGGTGCGTTCACTGT